GTGCTCTGATGCAACATGTTATACTGCTGAAAATGACTCATTGTGATGGTGTAGATGTTAATAATTAATGTTAATATTAATTCGCTGTCCAACCCAACAGCCCCTCAGCTCAGAGTTTTATTGGCCCATGTACATTTTTATTGATCTGTGAAAAAATCTTTCATTTGTACATTTTTACTAATACTATTACAGTTGGATGCTGGTCTGCTGCTGTTGTTTGAATCTCCCTGCCTGCACGTCTCAAGCTGTGCTGGGATTCTCCTTCCCTTCATGGTGGAGCTTCCTGGTTTCTGGCACTTCAGCTGCGACACATGTTGTCCATCTGGCTGATCTTCTCCAGTCTCCATCAGATCATTTTCCTCCTTCATGTGTTTCTCTATTGGCTGAAGTCTTGAAGTCTTTATACATTTTGTCGTCAACAAAATGTCATTTTGGTCAACTTTTGGATAACAGCTTCTCACCCTTGAAAAATGCAGTTTTGTTGCTATAATACTTTTTATTTTATTTTATTTCACTTTAAATCACGTCACTCACTGCTCTGGTTCTTGTATAACATTTTTCTGCTCTTTGTGAACACTCCAAGTTTTGACTCCAGCTCACAGATAAAAAGTAAGAAAAAACAAGTTGCAGAAAGTCTTAAGATACTATACAAACAAGTTTGTATAGCTTGTAAATGAAAAACTGTGTAGTTCATTGTGCATATGGGTATACAACCTGAATGATATAGCAGTGCGTTATTTCACGGTGTCCTTCCGAGTGACAGCCTGAGGGAAGAAACTGTCTCTGTGGTTTTTGTAAACAACACCTGCCTGAAAGCAGCAGTTGGAATAGTTTTTCAGGGATGTGAGGGGTCTGCAGAGATGTTTTCTGCCTGTTTCCAAACACTGGACCTGTACAGGTCTTGGATGGAGGGAAGATCAGTACCGATAATCCTCTCTGCAGACCTGATTCTCCAATGCAGTCTGGTCCTGTCCTGCTTCGTAGCTGAGCCCAATTAGACAGTGATTAGTGGGCACAGGATAGACTGGATGATGGCAGCGTAGAAGATCACTAGCAGCTCCTGTTGTAGGTTGAACTTGAAGTCCGATAACACACACCAATGAGTCAAACTGCAGGAATGTCTTAAAGACTCAAAGACCTGGATTACCTCTAATTTTCTGCTTCTAAATTTAGTTAAAACTGTGGTTATTGTGCTCGGCCATAAAAACCTTAGAAATATGGTATCTAACCAGATTCTTACTCTGGATGGCATTACCTTGGCCTCCAGTAACGCTGTGAGGAACCTTGGAGTCATTTTTGACCAGGACATGTCCTTCAACGCACATATTAAGCCTTCAGTTTTCAGGCATCTCTTCTTCTGGAACCAGCTTATAGTTTGGAATCGGGAGACAGACGCTCTTTGTAAGATTAGACTTAAAGCTTTCCTTTTTGATAAAGTGGTTCAGTCCCTGGAGGCTCCAGGCTGCATGTCAAATATCCTTGGGCAAGATACCGCCCCCAGGTTGCTCTCTGATGCATGTATCAGAGTATGAATATGTTTTTCTGGTAGATGGAGCATGGCTGTCTGTGGAGAAAGACACTATACAATTTTGAAACCCGAATGAAAAAGTTGTCCGAGGACTTTAAAGGATTTGAGGAGCTGATCTAGAACTCAGCACTGTATTAAATGGCTCCTCTGTTGTTTATTATGAGCATAGGCACTTCATAACATGCATCTTACATTTCATACATGATAAATGCAGTCTACGCACAAATATAAGTCAGACATATGCAACAAGAACACCCAGCTTATTTTAAACTAGTGGCTGAGACAGGCAAAGGTGTCAGTGCTATACTGCCCTAAACCAGGACACATTCAATCTCTGCTTTGGAGTTTATCTTTGCATGGACACGGTGTGTGCATTCCTTTCACCACCAGGAGAGGAAATCCTATGCATCAACATGCATTAGCACATAATCAAGCAAGAGTGCTGTTGTAAAGGCTACAGATTGTTTGAGCATTTATCCTCACAGACACTACATCAAAAACAAGCTCTAATTCTGTCAAGTCAGAGTTATTTAAAAAAACATATAAAAGTTTCACATGTGGCTGATAGCGAAAGTAATATTCAAAGGCCTCGTTATGTTGTATTTGTGTAATAAGTGATATAAAGGGGCACTCTGGTGATTTGGCTTTTCATCTCCATGAGTCTGGCAACTTGCAAGGGTCATATTTAAAAGACTGAAATTGCTACAATCTATCTGTTAGTATTGGTGAAAACCTTAAAAACCTTGGACCCTACAGGTCCAGTAATGCAGTTTGTTTTCTGTAGAGCCTGGTAACCACTCACATGTTATCTTGTTGTCCGTTATTAAGTTCTGACTAGTACTTGAAATTATTAGTAAACTTGTTTAATTAGTTAAGTGCCATTGTCTCTGTCCAGAAATGAATCATTTTAAAGTATGCTGGTCTAACCTTTTCTTTTGTGATGACAGCATTGAATATTTAAGTAACTGGGGCTGTTGCATTTGTTTAACTTCTACTGTGGATGGCCAAAATAACATTACATCATATGTCAAAATCACGTCATACGATATACTGTCAGCACATAACAGAGATCATGGCTAATGTTCTTTAACACAACTTTTTATTTTTGCAGTTAGTTTTGTAGGCCATCATTTCAATAGTAATAATGAGACCTGGGACCAACACAACTTTACTAAAAGGTCAAAAGGTTTGTTAAAACCATGACCTGCCATGTAATTAATCAAAATTTAATTACATTTTTTACTTAGAAACTTTGGGCCTGTAGTCAAAAATATGATTATTTAGGTATTCGTTCCCTGGAATTATATGGCAAAACAAGGCATTTGGCAGGAAGACGGGAACGTTTTGGGAGTGACATCAGGCAAGAGAGAGCGAGCGAGCGAGGGAGATAGCGTATTTTGACATTTAGCGTTTTAGGAGTGTGTAGTTTGTGTGTATTGTTGTCTTATGTAGTTAATGTGTAGTGTAGTCATTTGTTTGTTTTGAGCGTCAAAACAATGAAGCCACTAATGAAGGCAGATTGTAAACGCTGTCTCCAGGTGGAAAACAGGAGGAGTGATACACCTGTTGTCAGTGTTTAGACCTAGGACTGTTCCTCTGTCTTGTTGTGGGCAGAAAATATTTGTTGGAGCGGCAAAAATGGTCAAATTTGTGTGGCATCTTATCGTGAAACCAGATTGTTCTTTAATTTAGTAGTTTTAAAGGGTTGTACTAAAGCGCCTGAGAAATTGGCTGCATTTTTAGGTAAACAGCATGTTACTTTGCTGTTGGCAAAATTTGTGCATACGTTTTAAAAATGTGCGATTTATATTTGCATTTAAAAGTATGAAAATGATTCGCTAAACATGTTTGTGAGTTTTTTCCGACTCTGATTTTATGTTTTATGTGTGATTTTAGATCAGTTGTGTTAATGCAGAATGGCAAAATGAAAAATTGATGAGAGGTTGTGCTAAAAAATTATAGCAAACAAGGCAAGACAAATAGTTTTTTAAGGTGAAATAAATATAAAAGTACGATCAAAAGTATTAAAAAACGGCAAATTATGCCCTGGGCCGCAGAGGGTTAATGGTTAACCTCGTGGCTGCATCACATCATGTGATCTCTTGACTGAAATTTGGTCAGTTTTCAGTGTCTTGTCCTTTGCTGTTGGGGACCAGGTAGCACACCATCCCATGGCCCAACTTAAATAACCCATCAAACACTGCTGTTGTTTAGTTTTTTCTGTCTTCATTTCTCTTCAGAGCTTTTAGTTGTTCTGCCCCGAGACCACACACTGTCTCACCACTTTTAAATCACGTCTCAAAACTCATCTATTTAGAATTATACACCTGATCTGTCTTAGTCCATTTTTACCTGCTCAGTTTTTATATTTGCCTTTATGACTGTTTATGTCTACATTTTATTTACCATGTTTACTATATATACATATTTTTTTTATGTTTTTATGCTATTGTTCACGTGTCATTGTAAGGTGACCTTGAGGGTCTGAAAGGTGCCTATAAATAAAATGTATTATTATTATTATTATTATTATTATTATTATTATTATTATTATTATTATTATTATCTCCAAAGTAATGGCAAATCTCTATATTTTAGGCTTTTTTTAAATAAATAAAAAAAAAAAAACTCAATCAGGTGTCCATAAGGTTAACCTCATGGCTTCATGATTATCTACTGCTAATTTCTACCAAAGTTCCAAAAACAGGGGAAAATAATATTTTGGACAGCTGTAATAAAGTGTGGTTGATGACTACATGTAATTATCAGTCATCAAATGATGACTTTGATTTAATCTGTTCCAATATCTTCAGACGTTCCATCATATTTGTCAGCATTCCAGAATTGTAAAGAAAACACCAAGAAATAAAACTTGCAATAAACTAAAATGATACTGTAGTTTATTCTTAAACATTGCTTAAGTTATGTGTTATCACTATATGGTATTTTTCTTTGTTTCCACTTTTGTGAAAGGGTCCTCTTCTTTATATCATCGTCTGCTTTTTTTCTCCAGTCTGTAATGTTGTAAAGGGAAATGTGCGGTCAGTCAAGTGTTTTGTCCACTTGTAAATACTAATAGTGTTTATTACACAAACAAGAAGTCAGGCTCTGGAAGACATCCCTAGGCACAAAAGCCAAGGTTATTGTATTGGTTGTATTACTGTCACTCCAACAATGGTTTTTCAAACAGCAGCACTTCCTTCAATCTTTGCTGATGTGTAAATTCCATGTTTATGTCTGGATTTCATACAATTTTCGATTGTACAGCAGTACATGTGTTCTGGAGCTTCAACGTTTTAGAGAAAACAAACACACACACACACACACACAGACAGAGACACACACACACACACACATCACACACACACAGCACACACACAAGATACACACACAGATACACACACACACCCACACACACACACACACACACACACACACACACACAGTCAATTAGTGAAATGAAAAACCACCACTACCCCTTGTATATGTATATATGTGTTTCAGTTTGTTAGTCATCCAAGTGCTGTTCCTCCCATGTGGAGGTAGGAATCGCACTATATGGGTCCATTATGACCTTGGCACAGCGGATGATCATGGCCATCAGCAGTAAGCAGAGGAAGGCGACACAGGCTAAAGTCAGGCCCTGGTCCACATCCACAAAGGCTGGCTCAGCAGTACCTTCCATCTCCATGACTGCTGTTCACTGCTGCTGCTGTCCTCAGACACGCCCACATACCATGCTACCATCCTGAAGACCTGACTGGAAGCACAACAAAGAGATATGGTGAGTGTTATACTATAGATATGTGGAGGCTCCTCATACCCTGCTCATAATCTCTTCAAACTGCCGCCATCAGGCAAAAGATACGGACGCATCAGAACAAAGACTAATAGACTAAGAAGCGGTTTCTACTCTGACATATGTGTTTTATCACAAATTATTATGCACAAGTCAAGTTTATTATAGTTTATTATTTTATTTTATTTAAAAACTGAACAAATAAAAAAGAAAGAAAAAAGAACAAATACATTTTAAAAAGAAAAGAAAAATGTTTATTTATAGCATATTTAAAGGACATGTTGATCTGTTTCAGAGCTGCAATGGTAAAAGTCTAATTACCTGTAGCAGCAAGTCTGGTACGTTGAACTATGAACACCTACTCATCAGCTGATCTAAGTATTCAATAAGGGGCATGTCAAGGTTCGCAGGGCAAGCCGTGTGGAGTTATTAAGAAGGGCCCAAAATGCAGGCACTGGCTGATGATGCAAGTAAGCTTTATTAACAGGAGGTGAAAACAAACAAAAGCGAGGATGGCGAGGACAGAACTAAGAAAAGATCTGAACTGGGAAAACTAGAGAACAAACCTGAAACCATAACATGCAGGGAAGAACATGGGATGATGAACAGAGATACGAAGAGAGACACCAGGAAACACAGGCAACCACGCACTGTATACACACATGGAAACAAGGAATGGCAAACAGGAGGGAGGCACAGCTGATCCTAATTAACACGACGAGACAAAAGACACAGACCTTCAAAGTAAAACAGGAAGTCCACAGACACAGAGACACGAAACAGAGCACAGAGAAAGCACCTGGACAGGGATGAGTAGACACTAAACAGAGGAAGAAAGCCTAAGACCTAGAGACCCTGAGAACAAAACCTGAACACTAATAGAGAATGAATGAAATGAAAAAAATCAAACATCAAATCAGAACAAATCTCAAAGCACTGGGTCGCCAACCGAGCACCATGACAGGGCATTTATTAGTGAACAAAAGGATTTTAAGATGAATTCTAGACAGGACCCAAATGCAGGACTTGGAGACCAAAAAAAAAAATCAACTAACACAGCAGCTTTAATACTGTAGCTTGTAAACACAAAAGTAGAACAACCAAAAACTCACACAAGACACAAAATGAATCTGAGAAACCAGGATATGAACGGTTACTGTGTAACCTCGGTTCTCTTCTGCTCTGTTACATATCCCGCATGTACAGGAGAATGACCCCCCATTAGTCAGGTTGTATAAAATTCTTGAAGACACCACTGCCACACCTCACAGCTTAACTATAAAACAGCTGTGCAGACATGAAATCGCTGGTAGTTTCATTGGGACGTGTTTCCAAGTGTCCTTAAAGTTGGGGAGAGAGTTTCTCACTCAGAGAACCGAGGTTGCAAAATAACAGCATGCTTTCTATCACATCAAGACTATCTGTCCGCTCATTTACATATTCCATATGTAAAACAGCGCATGGGGAGATGGTGTGGTCCAATACCTTAAGCACATGCCCACCAGGTCAGCACCCTGCCAGAAATGAAGGCCAACCCTAAGAAGCAGAGGAGCTATCAGTCTGAAAGACACAAGACTGACACAAAGGGATCCCGCAAGATCCAGGTACCACACTGTAATGGAGTAACTGCTCTGCTGACCCGCATGATACCAGGCTGACTGTGGAGACAACACCTAGTTGGCTACCGCCAAGATACACCCAACACCCACTCTAGAAGGGAAAAAAAAACCCCACAGAAACCCCACACGTGGACTGAGCCACAACTGCACAAAGGATTAAGGAATAAATCTAGAGTTTGAAAATCTTGAGGGAGGGTTCTTTTACATTTTGAGAGAACCCAACTTAATCTAATTATAAATTAAATGCCATGTTAAGGATATCAGTATCTACATGATGGGCGATCGTGGCTCAAGAGTTGGGAGTTCGCCTTGTAATCGGAAGGTTGCCGGTTCGAGCCCCGGCTTGGACAGTCTCGGTTGTTGTGTCCTTGGGCAAGATACTTCACCCGTTGCCTACTGGTGGTGGTCAGAGGGGCCGGTGGCACCAGTGTCCGGCAGCCTCGCCTCTGTCAGTGCACCCCAGGGTGGCTGTGGCTGCAATGTAGCTGCCATCACCAGTGTGTGAATGTGTGTGTGACTGGATGTGTAAAGCGCTTTGGGGTCCTTAGGGACGAGTAAAGGGCTATATAAATACAGGCCATTTAAAATAACCTTCAGTAATTCTAGAGACTGTGCTGGGAGACACAGCAAAGCCGACAATGCCATGTATTGATGTGCAATCCTGGAGGAGCTGGACTATCTGTGCAACCTCTGTTGGGTCCAAGTATGGCTTTAAGCTTGTGACACTGACCCTGACTATGTCACGGCAAGTGAGATGAGCCATATAAAAATAATAAAAAAACAAGGAGCACAAGAGTCCAAATACAAAAGAAAACAGTTCAAGAACACAGGAAAACAGATCAAAACCAAATTAGAGTTCAACAAGAGTCCGAGAAAGGCAAAACCAATCAGGAGGCCGACCACTTGGAAGGCAGTGGCGGCCACTGAGCAGGTCCGGAGGTCGGCCACGATGCCAGTGGCGGCGACAAACTTTTTCCGGAGGCCGTCCCCGAAGGCCATGATGCCAACTTAGAGGCCCGGAAAACGGCCGGCAGAGGCGAGGCGGAACGGGTCGAGTTGGCTCTGATGGCGGTGTGGCAACTGCAGGACCAGATGAGGCAGGACCAGACGAAGACGAAGACGAGGCAGGACCAGACGAAGACGAAGACGGCGTCACAGAGGCAGGACCAGGCGTGGATGAAGGCACGGCTGCGGAACCTGACAGTGGTGATGCTGCAGGCGGTGATGCTACAGTAGGTGATGCTGCAGGAGGTGATGTGGATGCAGGCAACGGTGTAGAAGTCACAGGGGATGATTCAGCAGGTGGTGGCTGAACAAACTTCCCCGGACCGTCAGCAGATGTGAGGATGTGCTTGCTGGGTCCTCCAGGACCCCCAGCAGACGAGGCGTGGTGCTGGGTGGGCTCCTCAGACCCACCAGCTGATTTGGCTTGAAGCTGGACAGGCGTCTCGGGCCCTCCAGCAGACGACACTCGAGGCTGGCTGGGTTCTCCCAAACCCCCAGCAGACGAAACTTGAGGCAGGATGGGCTCCTCAGGCCCTCCAGTCGACGAGGCAGGACGCTGGCTGGGTTCACCTGAACCCCCAGCTAACGTGGCTTGAGACTGGACGGGCTCCTCGGGCCCTCCAGTGGAAACAGACACTGAAGCAGCCAGTACGCAGACCTCTGCCAGTGTGGACACTGGCTGGGACTGAGCAGCACAGTGACTAGACTCAGGCAGCAACAGTGGGATGCAGTCCTCAGAGGGCTGAAAGTGTTCCCCAATACACTCAGCAGAGGACGGAGGCGGACGGGTGAACTCACTTGAACTCTCAGGGGGTGCTGAGAGCCGAGACTGTTCTGGTGAGTTCTCCAGTGAGGCTGCTGGCGCTGGCGTCTTGACCTCTAGGGGTCCAGAGTTGGCTGGTGACTGACACCCAGCCTCTGGGGAGGCCCTAGAGGGAGCAACTGTCTCTGACATGGCCAGCTTAAGAGAACCAGCAGATATTGTGGTGAAGTGTGGAGTGAAGTGAAGATGGAGGCTGAATGAACGAGTGGATAGGCTGCTGAACTGGTGGCAACTGAGCTTCAGGTAGCGACGTAACAGGTGGTGGAGTGGCTGACTGAACTGCGGTTAACTGAATTGCAGACCCAACGTTAAACTGTGGTGAAAGTGTGGATGGGAGAACATGATCAGGAAAAACTGTTTCGGTGAGGTTTACAACTTCCCCTGAATGAATCAGCGCAGGTAAAAAAATGGTCCCAAACATTTCCATTCTCTAAATTCATAATACCAGGCTTGGAAACAGAATGGAAACAGTCATTAACACATAGCGTGGGCTCAGGAGAAACAGACTTTGAAGCAGTGGCCATGGGTGAGACAGAAAAATTATTGTTATCTTCAGAAGACACACAAAAAATAGCTCCAGAAAACACAGTCAGCAGAAAAAGCGTCCCTTTCACTCACCACAGCCGATTGTTTACATGTGGGGTGCCACGCCGACAGTGCAAACGTCGCTTCTTTCTTGGAGACGGCTCCGACAGGCCGGGTAATCCTTCGTCCGGCGGTTCGGACGGCACGTCCTCCGTTGAAGCGAGCAGGCGAGCGGTAGCGGCGGGGGGGGGCGTAGGTGAAGCTTGTGGAGAACGAAATTCTGCACGAGCGGATGCAGAGAGTCCAATAGCCAGGGATAACCGGAAGTAAGGTGTTGTAGGTTGGCTTCCACAGTGTAAAGAGAGGCTTCTCCCTCATGCTCTAACCACTGGTAGATTAATTTAGAAGCAGAGTCGATAACGGCCTCCTGAAGCTCCCTGGGTGCCGTGACTGCCGCTGGATCCATATCTGGCTATTCCGTACTGTCACGACGAGTGAGATGAGCCGTATGAAAATAATAAATGAGGATCCAATCGCATGCAGAAGTGGAGGAGTGAAGGTGGTTTATTGAACACAATGCGCCAGTGGAAAAACGGAAACAGAGATCACACTAAACTATACTGGAGACAAACCTGAACTCAAACATGAAGCAAGGTGCGACGGTACAAGATGGTGACGGCAGGGAACACATGGATGAAACATGGTGGAATACACAGACAGACCACCAACTACAAAGACAGAAGACGCGACTTAAATGCACACAGAGAAACACAGGGAGATTACACACTGGTGGGGGCACAGCTGGGAGTAATCAACGAGACGAGACAAGAGGTAAAACTGAACACACTCACATGAGACGCAGACCTTCACAATAAAACAGGAACAAGAAACCACTAAACAAAGATGCAGACACGACACAGAGACAGACAGAAAATGACACATGGAACTAAACTAAACCTGCAAAAACATGACAACTCAAAATAC